AGCAGTAACACAAAGTGTTAGTGATCTTCCTCCTTGTCTCTCCCCTCCTCCTGCTATTCGAAAGCCCATCAGCAAGCACTCGCACAGAGTGTGAAATACTGAATACCAAAGCCTCAAACTTAGGATCCATTCCATTTAGTTGTTTATTTTTGAATACACATGTAGAGGGAAACCAATACTGGGTTGGAAAGTATCTACTGCTATGTTAGATGATATCTTGATCTTTTGCAGAAGCAGAGAAGGAAGGCAGTAGAGAGTTCTGGGCACAGTGCTGTTGATGGATTGATAGAGGGGATGAAGGGCAGCTGGCCTTCTGAGGGAGGACTGGACAGAGCCGGTCCCAGCTAATCTGTGACTCCCTCAGTGCTTGTACCATCTTCCCAGATGCTCCCAGTGAGACCTGTGGTGAGATGTTACCTTGGTCTAGGGGAAAGGAAACTGCAACTGTTTAGGATGGTTGAAGTCCGCTCATCCCAGGGGGATAGGGCGGGCCCTGCAGTGAGTCATTTGTTTGACAACAGTGACCCATCCCACCTTGTTTCTGTTGATGCACATGGAGGAATTTACATGTCAGGTACTCTTTCAGGCTCTCATATAGCAGTAGAAAAGAAGATCCCTGCTGTCCTGAAATGGGCAGGTAATAGAACATAAAATTTAAAAAACAAGGAAAGGGAAGGGAACAAGAGTAACCTTGTGACCTGCCTTAGATTCCTAATTGCCATGTGACTTCCTTCAGAAGATGACAGTAGCAGAGGGACCTGGATTTGGAGAATCAGTTATAAGAATCTGAAGCTGTTCTGTTCAATAAACCCTCTGACTTCCGGAAATGTTCCATGCCATACTTACGGTATGGTGGACACTTGAAACACAGCTAGTACAATTAAGACTCTTAATTTAAATTGCTACCTGTGACTAATAGCTATCCAATTAGATAGTTCAGCTCAGGTAGAGAGAACGGCTTGTACAGAAGTTCTGAGGATATGGTTACCATGTAGTCCCAACCTGTGCTCTAAGTCTGGAAGCTATGGTCAGTCTTTAAATAGCAAATCTGAAAAATGTACTGATGCTTCCTGCCTCTGTTCTGTGGGCCCCTGGAGGACCTGTAGAGGAATAACTCTTAGCCAAATAGGAATTAAACCCCCTGCTCAACAAAGAACCAGTTTCCTTTCCTAAGATAGGTTCATGCCCACACTGTCTGACTCACCAGTCTTGACTAGTTTACTCTGTTGTGGCCATGGCTGGCCTTTGTCTGTGCAGGATATAACCCTTGCAGAAGCCAAGTTCATTCATTCTGGAAACAAATCCTGTCTCTGTTCTTCACAGTGCTTGCATTTCCATATACCAAGGAGGCTAGGACCTCTACCACTGCTCTTTCGAGGGGTCGGTTCATATTTCACGACCCCAGCAGCTTGACACCTCATTTTTTCTGGCTTAACTTTTTTTCATTGCTAAAAATGGCATAGTCAACCCTGGTTTTAAAGAGAAACCAGTGTTTAAAGATAGTTTCTCCTTGAATTACCACTTTGCATGGGAAGGATTAAGAAAAGGAAAGAAGAAAGGAGAAAAGATAAGAAGACAGGAGGAGAGAAGAGGAGTGGAGGGGAGTGGAAGAGAGCGGCCTAGGACGTTTCCAGTGGTTTCCTCACATGATGCCCAGGGCACTGGGACCTCTCACACTAGGAAAGCTTCTGTACCTCTCCGCCAATAATTGAGCTGTTCCAAGCAGCTGCTGGCTTTCCCCAGCATCAGAGGAAAATTGGGGAGAAAGGACCATGGCAAGTACCGACTCTGTCATCCATTGTGGCTGGAGATTCAGCTCCAGCAAGATTCCCAGGAGAAAACTGAGACAAGGTAGCCTGTCCTGGCTCAGTGTACCAAAGATTAGAGGAGGCTCTGCTACAGAGCCTCTAATCCTAGGCTGGTCTGGATTCATCATGGGTTACTACTCCCATGGTGTTTGTGTACCCCAAGGAAAGAAATCAGTTACTTATTACTGTCTTCAAAGTTATGTAAACTGAGTGAAGGGAATCAGAAATTTAAACTGGAGACCACAGGACCATGCTCACGGCAGTAGTTTGAGTAACTGCTCTGTTTTCCCTTTACTTCTAGCTGACTCTCTACCATAAGTCAGACCAGTGGTGATGTAAGGGAGAGAAGAACAACAGAACAGGGCACAGGCTGTGGACATCAAGCCATAGCATGGGTCCAGAAGCTGAGGGCCTTGGTCAATCTGGTGGAGAAGTCTGAGGTCACAAGGTGAGCTCTGCAGCCCCTGCACAGTGCACTGGCCTCTTCTGCCTCCTTTGGTTGAGCTCCTTTCTGGAAGATAAGATTGAAAACCCACCAGAATCCTGTGCTCTGGCCTTTTGGTGATGTGGTGGTGCCTCTCCTGGATGCTTACCTCTACCTGTCCTGCTCTAGAAGGGGAGCCCCTGTGATGGAAAACCTTCATCTGTGGGATCATTTGAAGGCTCCATAAGCTAAATGGAATGGGCCAGTGTGAGCCCAGCTAAGTCATTTTCATCTTGTAAGAGATTATTTTTAAATGGAAAATAAATACTTGTTTATTAAAGAAAAGTTGGAAAATGTATAAAAGGAGAGAATTCCTTACAATTCTGCCAGCTAAACTTAGCTGTTCCTACTAACATGTTTTGGTATGTTCTTTAAGCATTTTTGTGTGTGTATGTGTGTGTGTGTGTGTGTATGTGTTTTCTATCAAAGGGTGATTTGGCCTTCCATGTGGCTGAAACCATAATGCGTACATATGTAATTGTGGGTACAGGTTTTTAATTTAACATGAAGTTGTTAGAGGATCATAAACATCACTTCTAAATGTCCACGTGGTGTATCTTTAGTTCCCATGGCCCTGGCACTTGGGCTTCTTGACCATAAGGATGCTGTCACTGGCTAGCTGGGGGTCACAGGATGCGTAGGGGGTGAAGTTAGGTCCCCTCCATGTCTCACAGGTGATCATCTAGTATCCTTATCACCTTTAGTCATTATACTTTGAACTCACCTTACCTGCAGCAGTTATTTTCCTGTAATTATATTATCTACATTTATGACTTGTCTTATGTGCTGGGAGGTGTTTTAATGAAAAGACAAAGTTGTGGGATTCAAACAAACCAGTGGCCACATGCTAGCTTTGGCTCTTTCGGTGCTTAGTCATTGAGAGCTTCAGTTAGCCTCACCTGTAAAGTGGAGGCAGTGACTTTAGTTTCTTAAAACCTGAAGGTCGGGGCTGGGGATTTAGCTCAGCGGCATAAGCGCCTGCCTTGCAAGCCTGTGGTCGTGAGTTCAATCCCTGGTACCAGTAAAAATACAAAAAAACAAAACAAAACAAAAAACCCCAAAAACAAACAAACCGTGAAGGTCGAGAGAATGGGTGAGGCAGGTAGTGTGATGCCATGCAGATCCACTCTCGGTGTTGCCTCTTGTTCCTCCCTCCCTGGTATAGAGTAGGTACTTAAACAAAGCTAGTATATAGTAGGTACTCAACATGTTCATGTTACATTTAGCTGAATTTCAGGCTGTGATGGCCATTTTGTGTTTCTCCATTTTCCACTGGGACCTAAGTTTGTGTCCTCTTCTCTGAGTAAGAGCTAGGACCATATAATTAGATGAGCTCATTCTAGGTGTGGACTTTTCTCCTTATAGGAATTACACTCTAAGGCCACTTGTCAGGGTACCTTTCAGTTTGATTCTCAAGGTCACTTGCAGTGTATCACATTGCCAAGCTCACAGTAATGGCCACTCACACCACTGCTGCCTGTACCAAGTCCCAAGCTGTATTAAACTCAGAGCCTAAATTCTAGAGGTGGGCATGGTTCTTATTCTCCTTTCCTTTTTCAGGTCTCTGGCTTTTTGTTTTGCTTTATTTTTTTTTTTTTTTTCCAGTACTTGGGATTGAACCTAGGGCCTTGTGCATGCTAGGTTTTATGGTTTGTGTCTGGATGTCTCCCCTAAGCCTCATGCAGTTATGAAGGTGCTTTTCAGAGGTGGGCTTCTAAAGTTTGTATGTGATTCATGGGCCAGTGCTGGGATTATGGGTGTGAATGCTACATCCACCCTGGGGCAGGCAGTCAATGTACATTATAAGGGACAGAAAGAGTCTGTGCACACTTTTAGCTTTTTGCTCTTGCTATGTTTGCTGACTTTCACCACCATGAACTGTTGCCCTCTTCCATGAACCACCCTGCCTTGAACTCAGCAGATTATGGACTAAAAATTTCACAAACTGTGAGCTAAATAAACCTTTCCCTCTTTAATTTTGGATGTTGGTTATTTTGTCTCAGCAATGAGAGAAAAGTAACCAAGAAACTAGGGAAGTTCTGTACCATCGAGAGCTATAGCTCAGCCTTTCAGGACTTCTGTTCTTAACACCATTGACCTCCCCTGAGGCAGATGGAAGCAGAGCCTTCAATGATGTGTATGTTGAGGTGCTTTTCAGTAAACTCTTTTGAAAGATGTGTATGTTGAGGTGCTTTTCAGTAAACTCTTTTCCAAAGAAAGTCTTACACACAAGGAAAGAAAGCCAAGACTACAGAACGGGGAAAGGTCCAGTCCCTGCTTGGAAGGGAGCCTTGTGACTGGGAAACCTAGTGGACGGGGAGGGCCCCAGAGCCTGAGCAGAGTGCTGCTGCGGCCAGGTTGGCTGGTTCCTCTAGGTCAGGCTCTCAGACTGGCGCCTTTAGGTGTCTGTGACTGAGTCAGCGGGTGACAGCCAACTGAGCCTGGGCAGCCTGCAGGCTGTGACTAAATTAGGAAGAGGAGCCCTTGGGCGCTCCTGGGAGCTCGCTGGGCAGGTAGGCAATTGCAGGGCCTCTGGTGGGCAGCTGGAAACAGCTGTTCTAAATTCGTCTGATCAGACTGCACTTTGGCTTTTCGATAGGCCGTAGAACTGTCACATACTAGTTGAAGCATAGCCCAGCTGCAGGGCACCTCCCCGGTGGTGGGTGGTGAGGGGGGTAATCTGCCCTCTACCCCTCCTCTCCAAGGGTCTAAGCAGGAGAATCTACTAAGCTTTCATCACTAAGTCCTTCCTAAGCTCTTCAGCAAGCTGTGCCTTTTAAGAAGCATACTCTTTTGAATCATTTTGGGGAGAGGATTATAGAGAGCGCGGGCATCACTGAAGAACATCAGGCTATCTGAGACAGTACAAACTGAGTTGACATTTGCTTTATATAACCTGACAATGAGGTATCTGTGACAGCAGATTTTGAATTAGAAGATCACAGGAAAGTTTAATGGTGGAAGTGTGATATCTGGAAAAAGAAAAGTTTTTATAGAACCGATGAGAAAATGGTGGTCTCTGGAAAGGCAAGGGAGGTTTTCACATGAACTATGGCAAAGGCCAACCCCGTCCTTTGACCCCACTTCTTCCCAAGGAGGGACTTCTTGGTGCTCTTTTCTCTTTTCCTCCTTCCCCTCCACCCCCTTTTATGTTGTATTTTCCACCTAATTAGTTGAAAGCCTTAGCTGCAAAGCAGTTTCTTAACTGCACCACCATCAATATTAAGGAAACCCTTCTTTGCCCAGTAGCTGTCAGTGACACCCTGCCTACCCCCTACTTCCTTTCCCCAGGGGCAGTATCACCCCCCTCACCGCCTACACAGCCACTGTTTAAAGCAGAGGAGAATCCACTTTTCCTACCAAAAGGCATTGAGTTACCACTGGGCCAGTAAAGTGGTGATCTTCTTACTCCATCTGTTCCACAAAAATAAAGTGAAAGAAGGGTTAGGGGCAGGAGGCATGCCGGCCGGATCAGTTTCTCAGCGCATTGCTAAGGGTTCTTGTGGGTACCTTCAGGACCCAATCATCACTTGCGAAATCCAGACTAACAAACAAGCAAGCAAACTAAAAATAAATGACCAGTACCAAACACGACAAAATGAGGAGGTGAAGCAGGCCAGGAGGTTTTGGAATTTTCTGAAAAATGGCCAGAATGGTTAGCCTAGGACTCCCTCCTTCCAAGCATTCTCAGGAGAGCTCCCTGCATGGAGCTGGCTTGGGTGTTGATACTCAAAGAGGCCGAGAACATGTGGCATAAACATGGACTGATATTGTTTGCCATTTCCACCCAGCGTGTGTAATGCCGCAGGAATGGTCGGGGCATGTGACTCCCCGTCCAGACGGGTGTGCAGTCCTGGGGAGCGCTCTTTCTCTCTCGCTCCCTTGCTCGCACCCGCCTTCCTACCCCTTCCCAGACTCGGGAGACTCTAAGTGGAGGCTTGTCATGATTGGCATGCAGAAAGCTGGTAGAATGTTGTTGGAATTTTCTAGGGAGGCACATGCGCGACACCTAAAATGACTCCCAGCTCTGGTGGCTGCAGGTCAGCGCTTCTTGCCAGGTGCCCTGGTCTGTTTCAGAAAGGTAAGGTTGCATGACGCCACCCTACCTGTCCCCAGCCCAAGGAGAAAGTTAGGAGTTTCTTTTAATGTTCCCACCCAGGAGGCACTGCTGACCATGTCCTTGGCGCTAAGCGTTTGTGCATGAGTATGCGATTTGTCTGGCTCTCTACCCCCTCCTGTTTAAAAGAGTTTTAATAAATGATTCACAGAGGCTGCTTAACATGTGACCTGAAACAACACCTCCTGACCCCGGTGGAATCAGCAATCCCAACGTCAGTAAGTCTAGATGCCTTTTTTACGCCGCTTTTTTATAAAAGAAAAGTCGCGCAGCTACTGAGAGACAGCGATATCCCCAGATTTGAGCGACTGGAGAGGGGAACATATTTAGAATCCCGAAACCTTATGGATGGCAGGGTCTCTCAGGGTGTTAATCGTTGGATGTCGTCATGGGTAGAGAGGGAATGGAAAGGTGTCTGAAGTGTCGTATCTGCAGACTGAACAATCAGACCCATTCTGAACCGGGAGGGGAATGCTGCAGTCAGACTCCCAGCCCCGTGTAAAGCGAAGGAGCAAGTCTTCCCCAAGAGACAGCGCTTGCGAGCACCTCTCCAGGTGGCTGGAATGTACACTTCAGTAATGCTTGCGTATCTTTAGAGAAAGTTAAAGATTTTAAACAAAACTGTTGTAACAATCTCGAAACAAACGAGAGTCTAAACTCTGGTAGTGAGGTTCGAAGACTTTTGGTGTCATGTGGGATGATGAGGTGGCAGGCACAACCCAATATGACTCACCTCGTTTTTTTATCTGCTGTAGTTTGAAGAGGCTTTGGTACACATAGCAGAGAAATATGGGTTCTCTGCTTGCCAGCATGCAGATGAAGCAGGTCCATCCTCATCAAAGCAGTGGTGTATGCTGTATCTTGCATCACGGAAATTTGCTTAGCCTCAGAGAACAAAAAAGTCCATGTCGTAGCTTTGCTCTTGGTTTCTGCCTAATATGTATTAGAATCGTTTCTGTTCTTTTCTTTTTTCTCTCCCACATCTTTTCAGAGATGTCAGAAAACAGAGGGGGAGAGAGTAGAAATTTTCACACACTTGCCCCTCCCCCCGGGCACACACTAACAGCTGCCATGTATGGTTGTGTGGAATTTGATATTTTGAACAAAATGACTTCCTCATTTTCCATAGTAATATAATAATCAATTTTACCATGAGGGCTGTGTACATGTCAAACCTTGGCTGCTCCTAATTAGCAATGCATGGGGTGGCAGGGAAAGCGCTGGGGAGCAGTTCCAAGTGAAAAGTCAGCCTTTATGTTTTAGCCATGCTGGCTTTGGCCAGCACAGTTCTCAGTCTGCCTGGATCTTAACCGCACGTTTCATTTGCAGTGTTCTGACCAAGAATGGCATGGCCAAATGTAACGGACATGGGCCAGAACCTCTAATTGTTACAGCTCTGTCTTTTATCCCCACTCTGCAGTAATTTTCATATAACCACAGCTTTATAAGATATATCTTGTACTTTGTGAGGGAACGGCATATTCTGCTAAGATCTGCATTCCTGTATGCTTAGAGACCATCATAAATTCAAGTCAGTTGAACAAGTATGTATGTGTCCATTGCCTCTAATTTGTCCAGCCCTGAGCCCTTGGGAGTTTGAAGGAATTTTCCCTCCCTCCTTCTTCTTTCTTCCCTTTTTTCTTGCATCTTTTCTCTTCTTCTCCCTGCCCCCCTGTGTCTCTCCCTCCCTTTATACTGTCTCTGTCTCTCCCTTCCTTTGCTTGAAACAGTCTTGCTAAATCACCTAGGCCAGCCTCAAGCTTGTGATACTTCTGCCCCAGCTTTTCAAGTAGCTGGAATTACAGGCATGTCACTATGCCAGGCAAGTGTGAAAGGTTTTAGGGTGTTAAAGTGCATATAATTTAGATGACAGAAGTCTTCCCCTAACACAGCTCACTTGGCTTTCTGCAGCAGAAACTATGTGTGCTCTGGGCGTCATCTTGAGACACATATATGCACATGCCCGTTTTTGTTTAGTTTCATGAAAAATGCGTCACTATAGCCAAGAAATATTGATTTTCCAGTCTGTTTATGACCATCTGTGGGTTTGTATGACTTTTAGTGTTTATACGTAATTTAAGACAAATGATTGTAATCTATGATGTGACTCATGGGACCCAAAATAATAATAAAAAATAGACAGATTCTGTTCTTTATAGATGAGTGACACTCTGACTTTGCTTTATATTAGTTCTTCTGGGGAGCTATTGAAAACCTCAGTGCCCAGACTGAATCAGTTTTTGGTGATGGGACCCAAGCCCAGGATTTAAAAAAAAAAATAAAACTCCCAAAGTGCCATCAAATTTGAGATATAGTGATATTGGTGATTCTATCAAAATCTTTGTTTCATGTTTTTTAACTTAGTCCTTCTCGAGTATGTTTGGGAATGAACTTTTCCATAGTCGATGTTGTGCAGCTAAGAACCTCTGGGCTTTCCACAGGCCTACACACTGGGCCCTGCATGAGTGAGTTCTGTGAATGGAGCCGTGCTTTCTTTGTGGTCTACACACCTTATTAATCAGTCAATCTACTGAATTATATAAGGTTTCTGAACTTTGCGTACTCCAGGAGCCCAAACATTGCTAAAGACAGTACATATTTGTACATATTTCAGGAAGAAAGGTGGTTATAAGATTACTTGTACGTGTCTTTGAAACCATTTTTGTGGTGTCTGAAACTCCCATGGTAAGAGAAGCCCCCTCTTGGTGTACTGGGTGGCTGGTGGATGGAAATGGCTCGTTAAAATTATAGGTTTTACTAAATTCCTTACAACTCACCATAGATTATTACAATGGAAAAGTATTTTCAAGGTATTCTGCTTCAGTGATTCTCAAAGTGTATGTCAGCATCACCTGGATTGATTAGAAATGCAAATTCCTAGGCCTTCCCTCAGACATTCTGAGGCAGAGCCTGGGCATGGCCCGCCACATGAGCTCTGAGAAGCGCTCCTGGTGTCCCCTGAGTTTGAAAACCAGCACTTCAACTTTCAGTCTTTTCAGTGTGTCTGTTTACAGTCACACAGCTGAGTTATGTGGAGGTCGAGTAATCTCTGTAAAGCAGCTCTAGACTCAGGGAAGGATGGGGCCTGGAAGCTGAGACCTTGGTACCAGATCATGCTAACATTTCCATATGTCACAGATACTGCTTTAAGACAACACTCGTCCTCCTAAAATCATAAGGCATTAAAGACACTGCAAATATTGTCTCATCAGCTTTCCCATTTTACAGATTAGAAAACAGATCCACAAGGTGAACCAAGCTCCATGAGACTGAGAAGAGAGACTATTAGAGAAGAGGAAGGTGATGAGAAGGAAAGCAGGGTGGTGTCATCAATGTGTGTTCTATGAAAATGTCACAGTGAAATCCAGAATTCTGTATCACTGATGTGTGCTAATAACCCCTCCCTATTACTGGTGTCAGAAACTGCAAAACTGGGTCTATTTACAACCAAAACACCTCCCCCACCCCTTTAGGCTTGGTTGAGAATTTTCATTCTCTAAAGTTAATCTAAAATTTTATTGTAGTTTAAAATTGGCTTGAATTGTGTAGCTATGCTTATGCATTTGCTAGAAAAAAATCTTGGTGATGGCCAATACTGCAGGCAGAAATTAGAGGGCCCTGGGTCCCTTGTGGGACACAAATCTCAGCTCAGAATGGTGTAGATTAGACGCATCGCCTCAAGTCACATGGTGGAATGGCATTTTCGGGTTTAGTTAAAAGGAAAAATGGGACAAGTCTGTTGGATGAACACTCTACAATTTTGTGCTTGATTTGGTTGGTGATATGTACATAATTTTGACAGCGTCCAAAGACTGAATTTAATCTGCATTCTCTGCAGAGCTTCATCTTTCAAAGTGTTGTAGCAACACATGTGGAAAACAAATCGAGAATGTGAGACGCAACTGGCGTATCAGCAGTTGTGTGCATGAGCAGGAATAATTATTGATTCCCACATCCACTGTGCACCAGCACTGTGATAGAGGAGAACTCATGGTCTCTGCTTTCAAATGATCATGAGATGGGGAAATCAGACACGGAATGAAGGAGCCAGTTGTCAGACAGAGTAGGATGGGCAGGGAGAGAAAGAGAGAGTATGTTAGAGCTGGCAGGATCGCAAGGACTTGTGACTTTCAGTCAAGGGCGTGCTGGGGCCCACAAGTAGGACCTGCATTCAGAGGGCAGCGCCTGGGTGCTGCATGTGGAAGGCAGTGCCCCGTGAAGGCTGCACTGGGAGGGGGATCAGCACATGCAAAGGCCCTGATACTCGTGAGCCATTGCCCTCCACTGGAGCAGTACTGGCCTACACCTCCTCAAATAGTTCCTTTGTGCATATAACACTAGCCATTTGACTGCTTAGAGAACTTTGTATAGCAGTTTTTAAAAACATATTTCAAAAATCTTGTTTTTCCATCTCCAAAAATTAAGAAGTTCCCCAGTAAAGTTTCTCAGTTGAGGAGATGAGCAGATGGAAGGTCCCCCCAACCCCAGTGGTCAGAGCAGACTCCTTCATTTCAGATTGCACAAAAGCAGTGAAAACCAGTCTACCTAACATGGATTTCCTGAAGAACTGTGTCTCAGACAGACCAACTCCTGCCCTGAATGGATTCCCATTCGTTTCACTCTGAAAGCCGTGGGTCCATGAAGAAATGTTTTCGTAGAGAGAGAATTTTGTAATGAAGGCACTTCGGTGTTTTGTCCACTAAGTCTGTCACACAAATAGAGGTGAGAGAGCCGCTGTACTGGCCTGCCTTTCCCTGACAACAGGAGCAGGGGAAGTGAAATTATTTCACACTGACTGACCTGCAACACAGACATCTGAACCAACTGTATACAGAGCAGAGGTTTCTTCAAAAGCGTTCTTGGGAGCTTAAAATAACAGCTTCATTTGTGAGACTACTAGTGATGTTATTATTAATGTCAGGTTTTGGAGAGCACTTGAACATCCCCCATCCTGATGATCTTTCTGACAGCCAAGAGTCTCTATTTGACAAATGAAGAAATAGAACTTTAGAGTTCTCAGATTTCAAAGGTAAAAGGGACTTTAGAGATCCTTTCATTTAACTTTCTCATTTTACAACAAAACAAAACAAAATGAAACTCGGAGATCCAGGGAAGTGGACTGAACTCCTGCCCCCAGGGAGTAAGTTATGGGACCTCTGTGAGTCTTGCTTGCTCACTGATTTTCCATGATACCATTCTGCCTTCAATCTTAAGTATATTGAAAGAAACTGTTATATATATTACGTATTTGTTATATATATATATTTGCTATATATATATTTGTTCTTCAAGAGAAATTTTATTGAAATCACACTATATACTGTTTTATGAACACACACATAGGAAAAAGTCTCCACTTTTGTGCTTTTATCTGTGGGTAGATACAGACAGGTATACAGATTGGTAGGCCCACAAACTGCACAGGGATTTTTCTGGGAAGATGAGATTTGAATTGGGCAGAGTCTCAAAGTGGACTCACCTTTATCTGCACAGTTTTCTATTTTGATAAAAACACCTGAGTCAAAACTGAATGTAACAGCATTTGTTCATTTGGGGTAATGTGCAGGGAGACTGTAGGTATTTGTTATATTCTTGCAATGTTATTTTTAAAAATTCAAAAAGAATGTGAATATTCAAACTAAATTCTCACCTCTAATACCATCATTTTATAAAAGATACTTTGAAAAAAGGAAAAAGGTATGGAAGGAAAAGGAAACCAGGGAACATCCTTAGTGGGGAAGCTGACCTTCTCTTCTCCTTGCTTGAAGTCCTTCTAGTACGGCACTGCAGAACGCGCTGTTTGCTCTGTCTGCGTCGTCTGTTCTGTTTTGCAAATTCCAAGCCTAAGAACTCTAATGGGGCGGGCAGGCCCCTCTTATCAGCTATAAAACCAGGAGCTGCCCCGGCCTGTGTGTTCCTCCAGTTCTGAGCACACAGCCTTTGATAAGTGTACAGCACACAAGCTTTAGCACAAAAGGTTGACAACTTGATACCAAACTCATATCCCGGGGAAGCAGCCCAGACATTTGTATGTCCA